TCTAGAGATGGGAGCACCGTCGCACCGGCCACCGGAGAATCGGAGATTAAACCGGAAATCGAAGGGCCAAACTGCCGAAGGGGTGGTCCGTGGTCTCCCTCTCGTCCGTCGTCCGGTCTCCGTCAGGCGTCAGTCCGTCGTAGTTTGTGGTAACTCGCCGACTCGCAGCGGCGGCAGCACTCCTCCAGTCCTCCGTCGCTGTGTGCCTGTCTCGCTGAGATGCTCTTGCTCGTGGTCGTCGTTGAAGCTTGTACGCAGACCCCAGTAACGCAGCCGACTAACACTAATGGGTTAAAGGGTAGCTGGACAGGGCCTCCACTTGGGGAGTTGGGCTACCATGGAAAGGGTTTATGGCCTTATGGGCCGGCACATCCGCACAAGGAAGGGGCTAAGGGAAAGGGGTTTTGGGATTGGAAAATCCCCTTTGTACACGCCTGTTTTTACAAGCCTGGTTACACGCCGGTCAAATTGTCAGTGTACAGACAATTTGACCGGCTACACAGATAATGTAACTGGCTACATAGACAACTTGATCGGCGTTTTATGAAGAAAAACCGATTTTCAGAAAGACAAAAACAAAAAAATTGTCTGTATCACAAACATTTTCAAATTCTCGTTTAAAACCTCTTTCTAAATTTTCTGTGTCACAGACATTTTATGAAAAATTCTCATAAAGAATTGTCTGTTGCTACATACAATTCTTTATTTTTTTCCCGTGTGGAAATCGATTTTCTTCATAAAACGCTGGTGAAATTGTCTATGTAGCCGGCCAAATTGTGTGTGCACGAACAAATTGACCGGCATGTAACCCAGTGTGTATACGAAGTGGGATTCTTTGGGATTGTGCTGCAAAGGCTCAACATAACACACACACCCACACACACGCATACGCACACGCGCGGGCGCACACACACATATTAAATCAAAAAATTACACTGCAGGGGCACAAGCCCCTCCCGACCCTAACATGCTTCCTCCCCTGTTTATAGGATTGATTACATGATGAAGGATGGACAAAAGAAGTGTTGAATTTAAATTGAGAGTACATGAAGTTTACATTGTTTGGATTGTCATGACCATATTAAAGTCTGATGATTCAGATGTGTAATACGTAGTATTAATTACGTATGATTAGTGTGTCATTCAAGTATACTAAAGTTCCATTATTTAAAGAATTTGGTGGTGCATTAGAGACTCATTCAAATATCTAATACTTCGTATTAATTTTGTATAATTAGAATCTTATTACGTGTATTAGAGTCGTATTATTTAGAGAATTTAGTGTTGAATGGTTTGTTTTTGAAAAACATAATCCATATGGTATTTATTTCGAAAATTTATCTCATTAATATGATTGATAATAAGGATATGCTTTGTACTGTTTTTTCTACTAAATTTTTCTCCTTTTTTCATTAGTCGATCCATCTCTTTTTATTTGGAAATTATAAGGTAAACTCACCCGACTATACCTTCAGTATGGTACAATCAGGTATTTTTGTAATATTTTTGAACTTCAAGCCTCTCAATAAATCTGTCATCCTTACATCTGAATCTTGTGTAGGTATTTTCAGGCTAATTTTTTTACCGGTCGTTTTATTCATCAAGATGAAATTTGCCGCAGCCATTATTCTTCAAATATACTACTCCGTATATTTTAATCTCTATTCTTTTGATTCTTCACTATTTCTTTGATCCTCGCACGTACCCAACTGATTTGTCGTTTTCGAACATTCATATCATATTTACGTAGTTTAGCTTACGAAAAATAGCTTAAACAATATGATCATTTTAAAATGTTTTATTAATGCATATTTTAAAAGTACCATAATACATTAAATTCAAATAATAGTTGATTATAGACACGAGAGCACATATCATGATACTCAATTGCATGTTTCCAATACTCAACAGATGATATTTGTTGCTCAGTGAAAATGTCTTGATGCAAAACTAACAAATCGTACAATTTTCATATCAATGCTTATTTTGTAAGCTGCATATGCTCTTTTGGTATCTATATTATGCTCAAAAGTACTGCATTACATTAGATTCGCATATTGAAATTCAAGAGTTGATTATAGATATAATTTAATAAGTTTTTATAAAGGAAAAAATAAGAAAAATAAACTGAATTAGAAGATATGAAGCAGAAATCACGATGCTCAATATTAGACTTCTAATACTCAACAAAATAGGTCTCATGCTCACTAAACGTGCATTAATGCTCATTCAACGGAAGCTGTGATTTTCAGTTAAATTACAAAAATGTCACCAGTTATACGGTGTTCATCGAACAATTGGTTGTACGATATAGGGCTGCTTTTTTATGGGAATTAGTTAAATGTTTTAATAGTAATGAAAATAGAATTTTTTTGAGTAATAAGAGATTGACATGTGAACATTTTATAACTGTATTTTACTATATAAAACAATATATATGAGCTATTTATATTGACAAAATATTCTAAAATTATTAGGGCTTGTTTTCTAGCAGAGATAATTTCCAGTTTTCTATTTCTGTTTTTCGTTCTCAAATTTTCTGTTTTCATTTTCCTGTTTTTCTATCTCCATTTTTCCTGTTTTCATTTTTTAGTTTTCCATTTTCAAATCTGAAAACATGTTCATCTATTTTCTTCACCCAGTTATGTGACCGACCAAAAGACCGAAAGTGCGCTACCAATCCGGAACCAAACCTAATACTACCCAAGTAGGGTACCACGTCCCACATATAGGAAATTCGGGACCGTAATTGGTTGGTACTGATCGATGTCAATGGTTAGTTTGATGAATTCTTTTCACATTTCCCTATTAGATGACAACTCAACGGCTATTTTAAAACTCTTCACTGTAAAAAATAATTTAAAAAAGTGACACCTAATCATTGGGTCATTGACTGGACCAGACATGGACCACTGGGTCATTGACAGAACTGGCCCCAGACCGCCCGCTTGTTGATCGGACCGAACACAGATCGTCGGGTCATTCGCCGGACAAGATAGGGACCGAGCGGATCATTGATAGGATAAGACGACACTGCTGCATGGTTGACCGGACAGGACGGGAACCACCAGGTAGTTGACTAGACCGGTCGGGGGCTGTCGAGTCAATGACTAGACCATATTGGACCGAGACTGCCCGGTCGTCGACCGGACCAAACAGGTACCGCGTGGTTGTAGATCGAACCGAACAGGGTTCGTCGGGTCATCAACCAGACCAGTCAGGGACCGTCGGGTCGTGGACTGGACCGGCATCGTCGGGTCATCGATCGGATCGGACAGGGACCGCTGGATCGTGGACCGGACCAGACATGGGCCGTCGGGTCATGGACCGGACAGGGACCGCAGGATCGTCAACAGGATCAGGATTGTCGTGTCATCGATCGGATCGGACCGGAATTGCTCGGTCGTCGATCGGATTGACAGTGACTGTGGGGTCAATGACCGGACCGGACCGTCAGGTCAGTGACCGGACCGGACCGCCGAGTCAATGACCGGACCGGACCGAGGTCAATGACCAGACCGTCGGGTCAATGACCGGACCAGGCCGACGGGTCAATGACCAGACCGGACCGCCGGGTAATTGATCGGACCAGATAGGGATCGTCGGGTCGTTAGCCGGACCGTATCCACCATTAGGCGTAAGTATGCAAGTTCATTGCAGCGGCACTGCAGCACCCACGTTTTCCAATTTTGGAAAACTAGTAAAAGTCACTTCTCCAATTCATTAAGGAAAACTGAGACATATCTCATTTTTTTTGGGTTTTGGAAAACGATTTGGTAAACGTGTTTCTCTGTTTTCGTTTCTCCAGTTTTCCAGCAATTTTCTTTGGTAAACACGTTTTCTGTTTTCCTTTTTCCAGTTTTCCAGTTTTCCAGAAAACTGGAAATTATCTCTGTTAGTAAACATGCCCTTAGTGTTTAGTAATATTTTTAAAATTCAAAGGAAATAAAAATAACACAAAGAAATATATGGGGAAAACCTAGGCACCCTAGTCGGTGTTTAAGTGATCTAGGCGCTAGGCGGCCAGTCACCGGCCGACGGCTCCAACTCGCTTTTACCGCCTTTTAGAACAATGATCATCCAACCCTATAATACTATAAATGCAAACGTGCTCCTCGTCTCTCTCATAAAACTCGACCAATTAGTTTTTTGTCAATGGTAGTATGTGTGTGTGTGTGTATATATATATATTACAATTTGGATAATAATTCTAGTTATTATATTGTGTAAAACTTATAACTCTTAAAGTTTTAAGAAGATATTACTACGTATTAGCAAAGAACATTTATATAATTTTCATTTTTGAATAATTTTATACTAAAAATATCCGAATTTGACTATACCTCAATAAGATGGTTTGTGGGACGTAAGAGGTTTATAAATATTTCCAGTAGTACTTTGTATACCACAAGTGGAAGGGACATGTGTAGGTTATCAAAATTTTCAATTCATAAGTCAAAAACCCGAATGTATGATGAATTTTTTATGGATTAAAGAGAAAATATTTGAAAGCAAAAATAAACTAGAAATTAATTTTTTTAACAATAAAACATGATTGATCAAAGACGTACTGGTAAAGGGCGTAACAATGAGAGGTTATGAGGTCGATTCCAGAAAAAATATTTGATTTGACGAAACCCCACACTCTCTTTACCAGTCTATGATCAAACTTCAACAGTTCAACTTATAACTGTTCGATCAGTTCAGGACCTCGGGGATAGGGTGTCATTTTTTTATTAACACTAAAGGCATATATTTAACGACAAAATAAAATCCGGCGTGATCATTAAGCTCCCTCAGCTCTTTAGAGGATATAACAACGATGTTCACTTAACAAAGAGAAATCTTAAAATATAACATTAATACAATCAAATACCTCTATTTTGAGAATATAATAATATAGCTACTTCGATTTGTGCAACTTATTTATTTATGTTTTGTTCCTATCTAGAACAATTACTATAAGATTAAGACAATAATCAAAACTTCTCAAAATAGGGGCCAATCTGTCCTAGTTTAGTAAAAATATTGACACTTATATTTTAGTGTAACAATGTTATTAACCTTTCCCGGAAAGACTTCCAAACTAACCCAACCTTTTTAAAAGAGCTTATTGAGTTATTGTGGGGCCAATAACAAATAACTAAATGAATATCTGCAATTAGTAAACAAATCAAATGAATAAACAAACAGATAAATAAATAAATAAATTAAAGAGGAAAAGTTGTCGTACTAAAGTCTATTTGAATTTCCCACCTTGAACTGTGTGATCTTGCTTGTTCCTCTTGACATGGCAGTTAATGGACTCATGTTGCGTAGAGGTTACACACCCAAGCTTCCTTTTCAATTTCTTCCAAACGCTGCTATTATTCTTTCTGCTATTATTAATGCTGCCATTATACTTCTCCCTCAACAATATATCCATGTTATTATCATCATTTCCTCTTCTTGTTCCCTCTCCATATTCCTCAGACCTCTCTGCACCAGCTTGGGTAACAATGGTGGCGGTGTCCCTCAGCTTCATCTCACCTATAGCTACAAACAGAACCCGCACCACCAGCCTCAAAGGCAACCTCTGATTCCCTACGGCGTGCTCCCGCGCCTCCGTCGACAGCATGCTGCACTCTAGTGCGCCGCACACCACCTCCTTTTCCTGTTCTGTCAGCCATCCGTGTGTCTCCAAGTACACATCCATGGCTCTGTACAAACCGTCGGAGCATCCATGTATCGCCGTTGACACAGTGGAGGACAACTCCGCCAGCGACACAAACGTTTCCATCTTCAACTCGGGATTCCGAGAAACCTCAACTAAAAACTCATTCATAACCTCTCCCACTTTCACGAACCCAGTGACGTCTGAACCTCTGTAGTTACAGCAGTAACTCTTCATTAACCTTTTCAGACATTTACTGTCGTATTTTTCTCCTCCTCCCCCTCCTTGTTTCTCGGCACTGTTATATAGTTCAGATAGTGATATTAGGTCTTGGACAGTGACCTCGTCTAGCCGTTTTCCAATTCTGTCCTCCAACCCGTCCTTACACTCTTCACTTGCACCCGATTCCACTGCGGTTTTCAGCATTTCCAGTAGAGTCGTAAAAGGAATAACGAGAAGTTCTTTCTCTTCTTCTACCTCCTCCTCCTTATCTTCGTAGTAGTCGTGGGGCGGTAAGAGTCGTTGGATGGCTTCAACGACTTCTCTTCTGTCAGTTGTGGATCTGTTTTTGTCAAAATAGTGACACAGAGAAGCTGATGCGTAGTCTAGAGGGACGCAGCGGTGAATCATCCCGGCCATTATCGGTTCGTAGAGCTTGATACCAAGTGCAGCTAGGTCTTCTTTTTTCCAATCCGGGGAGAACAGAGTTCTCCTCGGATTTCGTTTAGAGAAACCGCAGTTTTCTGGTTCATGACAGAGAAGGCGGGGGTCGTGAAGGGCTTGAGTGGTGAGCGACTCCGCACATTCATGGATGAGACCGAGCTGCATGGCTCGGTCGAGGCCTTCGGTATGCATGGACATGGTGGTAAGAGCAGTGATTGTTTTGTTCCAGCTGGGTAGTACGTTGTTTCGGAAGTAGAGGTAAGCCATTTTGAGGAGGTTGTTGGGTCTGTGGTCTTCGGTCATGCCTAGGTAGTAAGCCAGCCATGAGATTTGGAAGAAGTTGTGGGGCGCAAGGTCGATTGCATAGCCGTGGCAGTATCTGGCTACGAGCTCGAAGGTTTGTGGGTCAGTGGGGATGTCTTCCCCGAGTAAGAAACACAGATTCTCTTCATCTGGCTTCTCTTTCAGCGCTTGAGCCACCTTAGAGGATTTTTCTGCCAAAAGCTCCTGTATCCATGCACACATTAATTTGCAAACATCAATGTTCAGATATATTCATTAGTAGTGTTCAACATGTAATCTCACCACTTTCAAAATTAAGTTTATGTTTCCCATTAAAAAATTTAAAACTCTAAACTAGTACTCACGTGCATTCTTGGAGATGTTCAATTCAATACCTAATTTATTTTTACTCTAAATTCTTTTAATAGGATCACTAAGTAAACCCTATATAGGATGAAAAATATATTTAATCATAGTATAGATATTTGTCTATGTTTTACTCACAGAACAATTTCTTGAAATATACTACAGTATAATACTACTACCCAAACCAAAATGTCCACTATCGTGTAGTCACTTGAACCCACCTTTAATATGTGATCATATATATGAATTGACCTCTATGATGATATTAATATTCGATTGTTTTAATTCATTGATATTTTAGTATAGCTTTTAATCACGCAAATTTGATTACATGTACTAATTTAAATTTTATCAGAAGAAATTTACTTTATCCTTGATTAATCATCGATCATGATTCATGAACGAAACCAAAAACTTCACTTTAAGGTGAAGTATCACGGAGAAGATACTAGAAGTTTTTGGAAATCCTCTAGAATGTCCAGGAATGACCTGGAAGGATCAAGAATGTTCTAGACATTTAAGCATTCTATACAGCAAAACTATATCTTAAGCGCAATACATGTTTTCCATTCATTCCTTTAATTACTCGCTCCTTTAACCATCTCCCCTCATAGGGATAACCATAATTTTTTAATTGGGGGCAAATACTTAGTCTTTTAATAGTTTATTTCTCACAAAGTATGTGGATTTAGTGGGAGTTTATTGGGGGCAACGGCTTCCCTCCTCTTACGCATCAGCCCCTGCTTCTGGGGTTTCATCCTAAAATTGGAGGAGCCTAAGATCTTATATACTGCGTATTGTTTTATGATTTCATATCAATCACGTGTGAAACAAATTTCTTCAACACGCTCCCTCAATCTAAACTGCACCAGAAGCACCAACGTGTAAGTGAGCCATCGTTAACCTTATTAAGTCGTTAACCCCAAAGTCGTGTGCAGAAGGCAGCTCTCAAGCGCATAACACCAGAGAAGGAAGAAAGGCAGAAACGGAGAAATTTCTGGAATCCTTTGTTACCCTAGTTCTAGACGAGGTTTGTATCACATCTTTGCATTTGGTAGTCAATTCATTTAGATAACTACAGTGATACATGAGAACACCACGCCATGAAAGAGTTTAAGGGGTTCTTCTTCGACGATGTATTTCAAACTCACCCGTCCGTGAATTCCCAGTGCAATTTGGCTATACAACTTTTTCGTTCGTTCATAATCCATGAAAATTTCTCTACCAATTCCCACCTCTTCATTCAAAACGGAGCAGCAACAGCATATTTTACAATGTCATTTTATAGAAAGACCCCAAACCAGGGGAGAAAAAGCACTTCACAGTTTACACTACCCAAATGAAGAAGAAGAAGAAGAAGAAGCTTTCAAAAATCTACTGGATGGAGGTAAAAAATAAGGACTAATTAATGAGTAACAAAGAAGCGAGGTTCCTTGACAGTTTGGTGTCAGCCCCTTCGGTAGCCGGACCTTCACTGTTGTTCTCCTCCGTCCCAACAAAAATTACAAATCTCCTACTAGTAATATAAATGTTTGTGAGATTAACCGAACTAGTTATTCCTTAAACTAAAAATATTCGGACACTTTTCTCCCACAAATGCCATTACCCTCAGAAATGGATCAATGTATACTTGGAAACTGTTATAATAAAAGCAAGAACAATGCATCAAGTAAATATATTGATGATTAAGTACAAGAATAAATTTCTTGAATTGTAGTGGATGGTTTACATTATTATATTTCAACATGTGAACAAGTAGCAGGAATTGACTTTCTAATTTTTCCATTTAGTTAAAGACCATGCTCAAGCACTTTTTTTTAATATTCCAAATGAATATTAGTATTGACCAAAACATAACGTTAATGATTCATCTTAGTTGAGGTTTGTGCCTTCATTAAGCTGCTAACTATGGGGCTCAGATGCTATATCGGCAGTTAGGAAACTCTAATTTTCAGCGCAGCAAAATAATCTGATCTGCCACCTTCTACTTGACCTTTCTTAACAGAGTTCGATGCAGGAAAAGAAATTTTCGAGGTTGACAAAGGGGAAGAATTTGTATCTATTTTAAGTGACAAAGGAGAAATTTTCCTGGCATGTCTTTCGTAGAAAGTCCATGTTTTGAACTTGTACTGCTATTATTACTACTACTTGTTAAAAACTCTGTTGGGTTAATAGCAGTACACCGTACATAAAGAACAAACACCAGGAGTGCCTACAATCACAAATCATATCACTCCAATTCAAGGTTAAAGCAAAAGAAACAAACTGTGCAATATTATATATACAACGCAGGTGACTTGGGAATATCACTCCAATAATAAGAGATTATATTTTCAGAAAATATATAATTTTGAATTGTCATACAATTTAAACCAGGAATCGTCATAAAATTCAAGATATGATATAACTGTCATATATGGTGTTGAAGAAATATAGTCCTCAGATTCAAAATGTAAGGGACCAATGAGACACAATTGTGTATAGGAATGATGGTCATTTTTAAAATTTTGGTTCTGTTACACTGCCTGAAGCAACAAAAATTGCAGATACAAACCTATATACAATCAAACTTGGAACTAACAGGAAAGCAAACAAATGAATTCAGTTAGGAGAAATAAATTTTGTTTAAGCTTGTGAGGGGTTATCCGAAATTATGTGATTAGATACCTTGGAAAATTTCATAAAAGAAAGGAGCCTTCCATTCTCAGGTGCAAAATCTAAAGAAAAACTAAATGATAGAATCAAATGGTGCCTTTATCCTGCCAACTTTATCCTACTACGTTTATTGGACCCAGTTGATCAATCTTTGAGCTCTTGGGTATAGCAAGTCAGTGCATAAAGAGGGTAGCTGAATTAATAAAATAAAATAAAATAAAATAAAATAAAGCTCATTTTGTTCATTTTGGGTGAAATTGTTTGTTTTTACAGGTTCAAAAACAAATCATACAACTTTAATTCACAGTAACCCTTGTATTAATCTAACCACTATATGATTAAGATTTGATGATTTTGATTCGAATTAACATATGATATGTGTAAATTTAAATAAATTGTTAATTTTATTCGACTCTACATACATATTGTAAATACTCTAAAGGTATACCTCTAATGAAATACTTGTATTAGAATGGTGTGTCATAGAGGGACGGAAGGCCTGATGGGATGGACTGAGGGACAAACTATTTCATTTCTATCAACTTGATCATACGGGTTTATAGTCCAAATCTGAAAAGTGAAAATCAAAGTTCATAGGAGCAAAAAAAATCATGGATTCAAGCTTCAAATTAGTGATTATGTCAAAGAAAAAGGCCAAGGATAATGAATTGATATACATGCAAAGTTTCAAGGCTCACTTGCTCCTAAGAAAACTGAGACGCTGTTCTCAGCTGGAAACCCTCCGCCGTGAATGGACTTGCAGGAGAAATGGGAAAGAGATCGGTTCTCGAGCTCTTTCTCCGGAAAGAACTTAGCTGGGTGGGTGGACCGTGTAGATGGCGGAGTGTGTGGATATGACTATAATTTGACGGAACTCGACAGCCTCACTCCTCAGTTACGTTTTAAGGACATAAGCGAGAATATATATTAAAAAAAAAAGGAAAACAGTCAAATAGGTCCTCAAACTTTCATAAAAAGGTCAATTAAGTCCTTCTATAGGAGGTTCTGTCCGGCCGTCGCAATTTGGGGCAGTTCCCGATGGAATTTTTTGATGAACTTTTTTTAGCATCTTATTCACCAAGTCTAGTTTACTCATACCAAATTTCAGCTAAAAATTCAATCGGGAACACATTCAAATTAATTCTTAAAGATAACTGCACATTTTTGCGTTCTCGAATTAATTTGAATGCGCTCCCGATTGAATTTTTAGCTGAAATTTGGTATGAGTAAACTAGACTTGATGAATAAGATGCTCAAAAAATTTCATCAAAAAATTCCACCGGGAACCGCTCCAAATCGCGATGACCGGACAAAGTCTCATATAAAAGGACTTAATTGACTTTTTTATGAAAGTTCGAGGACCTATTTGATAGTTTTCCCTAAAAAAAAAACTGTCAAATAAATCCCCTTACTAGTTCAAAAAAGTCAATTGAACCCCTCAACTAAAAGAACACCCAATTAGACCCATGAACACATATAAAACTCTCAAATTGGCATTTTTAACTTGTTATCTTCCAGTTACCCGGTAAATTACTTCTTACGTGGCTTTTAATTTAAATTTTTCTTTTTGTTTTTTATTTCTCCCTTATCCGTCTCGACCGTCTTTCTTCTCCGTCTTTCTCTGTGTTTGTTTTCTTCATTTCTTTCTCTTTTGCCATTCACGTACTGTTTTCCATATTTTTTATTTTGTTTTATTTTCTCTTTCTTTTCTCTGTGTCGATTTACCTTCTCCCCTTCTCTTTCGATCTTCTCCGATCCCAGGGTTGTATTCTCCCTAAATCTCCTCCTTAGAAGATCTACTACCAGTCTATGGAGGCTTGGACGTTGGAGGTTGCTTGAATGCTTAAGCCAGAGTAACAGGCCGTGGAGGCGGTGACTCTGGAGGTTCAAACGGCGGAAATAGATGCCCAGATCGGAGGTGTGTGACTATCGGTGCCGGGGCAATTGGAGGTCGTTGCTTCAATGGAGGAAAGGAGGTGGAGGCCATGGATTCTAGGGCACTTGGAGGTTGCTCCAATGGAGGAGGCGGTGGTCGAGGCCACAGCTGTGGTGGCCGGAGACGGTGTGAACGGAGCTAGTGCGGCGAAGGTGAGGGCCGTGAGGCCGGTCACGGAGGTGGATGCTATGGAGGTCGGGGAAGCATTCCAATGGAGGAGCCGGAGGGGAGCTCTCGGAGGTGGTAGCCGGAGTCTGTTCTAGTGAGAGGAGGTTGGTATTGGCAGAAGAGAATGAAAGGTTTTGGGCCTATTGGTTGACCGGAAAGACAGAGCAAAAGGAAAACAAAAATAAAAAGGAAATGAGAGAAAAAAATCCACGTAAGCAGTTTACCTAGAACCGGAAGTTGACTGGTTAAAAAGCCTATTTGAGAATTTTATATGGGTTGGTGGGTCTGATTGAGTGTTTTTTAAGTTGAGGGGCTCAATTGACTTTTTTTCAAACAGTAAGGGGGCTCATTTGACAGTTTTCTCAAAAAAAAAAACTACTCAAGTACGGAGTATTACCGAAATGTGTACATGTATTATTTAGGAAAAAGGATGCTACATACTTCAAAAAAAAAGGGAGGCTACAAATAAAATTTTCCCGCTCTTAATCATGGGTAGTTGGGTACTGAGGGAGTATTTGCAAAAAATTAAAAAAATAGTTTTCAGCTTTTAGATTAAAAAAGTTGAAATGGGTGTTTTCAAGTAACAGTTTTTGCTTAAATTAATCACTCAAAATAAAAAAACTGGAAGCAATTGAAGAGATGCTTAAAACCGCTTTTCACTTTTTCTATTACACAAAAAACACTTATTTTATCAAAAACTACCAACTTTTACTATTTCAGAATCATTTTTTTCAAACACTATAAACTTTTATCATTAATCACTTTCTCCAAAATCACTTTAAAAAATTACTTTTTCAAAGTAGAAGCAATTGCAAACACTACCTAAATAACAATCATACCACAACAGGGCATGACCTTTTATATCACGTTAAGACTCTTGGTTCTATTTTAAAAGTCAACTTGATAAGAGTAACATGAGTTTTTGGTATAATAGTTTATTATTTCATATTTTAAGTGTGTGGGAAATAGTTTTCCTCACAACCAGACACTTCGTCTAAATCGTGTCATCACATTTTTCATCAACTTGTCATAATACTTGTCATTTTTCATAACCATCTTCATTTGTTATAATTAAGTTATTCTTAATTATATATGCTAAGTAAAAATTAGACTACAACCAGACATGGATCAAATATCATGTTAAGACTCGAAATTTCATCATCAATTTGATAGAAGGAGTGGCCCGGAATCTTAATATAATACTAGGTAGTTTATTAGTTCATATTTTACCGGTGTAAGTAATATTTTAACAGGGGTAAAAGTCATACACCACGACATTATATTATTGCCTCCAATTATTATTAGGCCTTTATAAGTTTGTTGAGTGCAAATATATTATTTCTTCTGTAAAAAATGTGCAATTTCTTTTTGTATAAAATCAACTTATTATAAAATAAAATTCTCACTACTATGAAGATCTTACATACAATTAAATTTTGCATATTTAGAAACCATTCTAGAATTATATTAAATCACAAAACAAATAAATATTAGTGGAAAATGTACGCTAAATGCATAGTAGATGTACTTACCCTATCTACAGAGCATGGCATTCCGCCAATGCGTAGGTGAAAAACCGATGCCGAACGTTGTTTTGTTTTCCTGAACCATACGAATTAGGGAAAAGTAAATACTTCGTAAAAGAGATTAATCACATTTCAAAAATAAGGCTCAGAAATTCCTATAATTAAGACGTTTTAAATTAGTACGTGTTTTTGTAGTATGGATGAAGTGGTGTTATTTTCCAAATAAAAAAATTGTTTATCACTTTTATTGATCATTTCATATTTGGGAAATTACACTGGATGGGATTGAGGATGTTTTCTTTTGGTGGATGGGATTGAAGATGTTTTCTTTTGGACTGTTTTCAGTCCCAGATCAGACCAGATCAGATCGAACTTCCGTAGTTATAAAATACACAAATATCAGACGTTTACCAGATCGGATCAGATCAAACTAGACCAACAAATTTCAGTCCAAAAGAAAACATCCTGAAAGCGTTTGTGTATTTCAAAATAGGACTATTATATTTTTATTTGCTAAATAGGAGTAATTACTGTCATGTTTTGGCAATACCATACTAAACATGTGGTAATATTTTCCAAATTTGGAAGTAATTACTCATATTTAAGGAATAAAAAATTGCAATCCTATTTTGAAATTTTAAAACGGTTTTACTCCTATTTCGCAAATTTTCCCTTCATATTTAATTTGCAGCAATTTTATACAATAATTAAAAACAAAGTCATATAATAATTTCAGTTGAAGTAAGGAGTTGGTGATAATACTTGCCTCGAAACAGATCCTATATTCTTCCTTGTAGATTCCATCCGATCTGGGGCTAACCTTAGAAAATTAGAGGCTGTATGCATACAATTAAAACATTGTGTAAGTTATACAAACAAAAGTAGAACTCCGTAATAAATAAAAGAGAAAATTGTCAAATAAGCCCCCCTATTACTACATAAAAATCAATTGAGCCCCTCAACTAAAATAACACTCAATCAAACCCACAAACACATAAAAAATTGTCAATTTGGCCTATTTGGCCGGTAACCTTCCAATTCAAGGTGAATGCTTACGTGGTATATGAGTTGGCTTTTAATTTTAGGTGACAACTCTGGTACCTTTCTAAAATATGAGGTACCGTACCTATCATTCATTTGATTGGATCACATCACTTTATCATTTTTAATTTAGATTTAAATAATTCAACTGCTACATTCTCATTGGTCCACGTGGACAAAGGTATGGTACCATAGAATCTACCTTAATTTTATCTTATCCCTTTTTTCTTTCCCTATTCTTTCCCAGCGCTTATCTTTTTGGTTCTCTTCTCATACGCTAATCACAAGCAACTGGTCAGCAAGTGTGCATTCTTCCTCGTAGGTCCACGCCTCCACTCTCTTGCCTTTACAGCTCGCCGGCGTTGCAGACTTGCAGACGAGCTCGTGTTCTGTCACGAAGACGGTGAATCGCTCACATCGATTTGTGTATGGTGCGAAGGGGAGTTGTGTGTTCTGCCGCGAGAGAGGAGTGGTTGCGAAGGGGAGTTGTGCGTTAAAACTAAACGACAAGGCAGAGATCTGGTCCGCCACTAGCCGATGCCATTTGCCGATGCCATTTGCCGATGCCATCTTAAGACGCCGCTGCTCGTCGATGGTCTTCGTGAATGCGCCGCGCCGGGGAAAGAGAAAGAGACAAAGAAAGAAAGGAACTGACGCCGGAGATCGATGGGGTGGTTGTGAAGGGGAGTTGTGTGTTGGACGGAAGGGGCATGTATTTTCTCGGTCATCGGCCGGTGCCATCCTCATAACCGCTAGTTACCAGCTGTCTTCAACAATGGCGAATTGAAGTCAAAGAGACGGAGAAAAGAAAGGCAAAAAGAACGACAGAGAAAGAAAGAAAACAGAACAGGAAACAAAAAAAAAAACAAAATTAAAATCAAAATCCACATTGACATGGTTCACCGGGAAACCGGAAATTTACAGGTCAAAAAGGTAATTTGACAATTTTATATGGGTTTGTGGGTTTGATTGGAGGTTGTTTTAGTTCAGGGGGCCAATTGACTTTTTTGAATTAGTAGGAGGGCTTATTTGACAGTTTTCTCAAAAGAGAAAAGTTGCACTGATTTGACGATTGATTATTAGTGTTTCAATATACACTTTCTCAATCCAGTCCTGAATTTCTTATTCAATGATCGGTCAAGTTTGGTCATTATTATATTTTTTAATACGAAACTATTTAAAGGGAAAACTGTCAAATAGGTCCTCGAACTTTCATAAAAAAGTCAATTAAGTCCTTTTATATGAGACTTTGTCCGGTCATCGCGATTTGGAGCGGTTCCCGGTGGAATTTTTTGATGAATTTTTTTGAGCATCTTATTCATCAAGTCTAGTTTACTCATACCAAATTTCAGCTAAAAATTCAATCGGGAGTGCATTCAAATTAATTCGAGAACGCAAAAATGTGCAGTTATCTTCAAGAATTAATTTGAATGTGTTCCCGATTGAATTTTTAGCTGAAATTTGGTATGAGTAAACTAGACTTGGTGAATAAGATGCTCAAAAAAGTTCATCAAAAAATTCCATCGGGAACTGCCCCAAATTGCGACGGCCGGACAGAACCTCCTATAGAAGGACTTAATTGACCTTTTTATGAAAGTTTGAGGACCTATTTGACTGTTTTCCCCTATTTAAAATATGAAAGTTTTATTACTTTGAGTAGTTCACATAAAATACTCCTATTACTTTCCAAAATACTCACCTCCAAAATAACTTTTGAATCTCAAACAATATTTAATTCATATAACTCGTACTACACATCTCATGGTCGTAAATTCAACATTCAAACTCCATCCAAATAAAGTACGAGCTTTATCACATTCCTTCATAAATCATTATCCGAAAGAAGTGTTTCAAAACTCAAACGTATCTTTTCCAAAACCAACATCTAAAAGTGCGTACTTATGGTCTCATCCCAGCGTAACCTTTCCTTTGATGACTTTGTATCTCATTATCATTTTCAATACTCCCTCCGTCCCCGAAAGAAGTTCCTCATTTGACTTTCACACACTTTTATGCAAGTAAACTTATTAGGGGGTAAATTTTACTGTTTAGACACTGTTTCGACACTGTTTGACACCGTTTTGCACTGTTTAGCACCGTTTTGATGTAGATAACTTTCCATTTAAGGAAATGGGAACTTAAATTAGGGACATCCAAATAAGGAAAGTGAGAACTTCTTTCTGGGACGGAGGGAGTATGACTTTGTATTTTTCTTTTTATTCTCATTATTTATGATGAGCTTTCCCAATCAACGCACGAGTTTAGTGTCAAATTTGGATAACGATAATACGAAGTACATTCTAAGGGATCTCTTATGATGTAATATCTTGATGTCTTGCATTTTCTTGGTACGAGTACTATATGAAATCTGTATGGTTCGACTATTTTTGACAAAGAAAAGAATATATATATGGTAGGTGTGTAGGAATTGTTCTAGTAAGTTTGTGTTTTTCTCTCGATAAAGTACAATTCGTATTGGCTTGGGCACCAAAACAAGAGGAGTAACGGCTTGAGAACACAAGTCTCACTAAAAGGCACGAACGAATGGAGAAGTAAAAAACCTAGCGACGCAGCAGGGTGGATCTAGGCAGGGGCGGACCCAGGGAATCCGTCTTGGGGGGGTTCAAAATATTTTTTGGGGGGCGAAAATTATTTTTTGAGGGGCGAAAATTATTTTTCGTGTATATATACCTTAGAATTTTTTTTGTTGGGGGCGGGGGGGGGGGGGGGGGGGGTTGCCCCCCTGGGTCTGTACTACGGTCCGCCCCTGGATCTAGGTGATGATGATTCTCTTCCATTCGTCCTTGGAGTCTACAACTCCTACAAGATTGGCAAGGGTTTGATGATTGTGATGTTCTACAAACAATAACGAATTACAGGTTTAGATTTTTTTATGAAATTTATCTTTTTTTATTTCTATCTTCTAGGGTTGTGGTTTTGGTCCGGCATTTTCTTTGACCGAGAGTTATGTCCGCTTCATGTGAGCGTGTGTTTTGATCTTGTCCTAGCAATGTCTAGAGATTGTGTCTTCCTCGTCGGTGTAACCGATCGAGTGGTTCATTATTCATGGTTAGCAAGACAGATTCAACCTAGTCCTTTTGAAGCTCCAATTATTCGCCCTCCTCCAGAACCACCGCCTCACTCGAAGAAAAAGATGGCTCTCAACTGGATCTCCTTTTCGGTGGCTGGTCAAACTGATGATCCAGATAATTTCTGCTCAATTGAGTTTCCTTGTTGGTTGCTGGTCAAACCAATTCTCTCTTTCCGGTGGCTGGTGAAGCCGGATCTTTGAGTTGTAATTTATTATTTTCCATTTGGAGTAGCAAGAAGAGCAGCAAAGCTGTTAGACTAGACTACATTATTGCGGGATTAGCGATCTGGAAGAATTCATTGGATCTTTTTCATTCTATGTCTCATCCCATTGTAGCCTTAGGCTATTCATTCTCTTGTATCTCTTCTATCTTTTAATAATAATTTAGTTATTTGATTTTCAAAAAAAAAACGTGCATACTTATGAAAATAAGTATCATTCGTCAAATAGTAAGATCTCTTTAACAACATTTTTAAGTATCCTAAGATACTAAGAAGTAATTCTTCCAAGTACTTAACTAAGAGCATCTCCAATGCTACAATGTGCACGGTGCACATGTGACATGAGAGAGATAGACACAAAAAATTGATTTTATGACATTCCTCTCTCCGTCTTTCCACGGTCTTATGTGTTTTTGGTAAGTTTTTCTCTGCAATGTCTACCACAATGTCTACATCTAGACATTGTGCTTGACATTGTGAAGAAAAACATACCAAAATGATATAAGATCCTTCAAATAAGGAGAGAGTTATTTTATTTACTGTTTTTTGATTGGATATCTCTGATGCCATGTTTGCATCGTTAACGTATTAGCATTGGAGATGCTCTAAATCTTTAAGAGTAAAACACTCAAACATTTGATTTTCCTCAAAATAACTTTACAGCTAATTCCCCTGGTCATTAGAAGGGTGGTGCTCAAAAGTAATGTTGAGCCCGGTGATCTGTTGCTTTGTATGATCACCCCGATCTCTCTCGGCACTTCATCTGCTCATATAGAATCTGAACTCGTACCTTAAGTTTGCACGCCCCCTAAAGGGATTCCAACCCCTCCGGGTCATACGAAGCTCAAGTACTTTGAATGTCAACGCCCCCTACCCCTAATGGGATATACTTCCTAATTTCTAAATAGGTACTACTATTATCGTTCTAAATAGAAGGGTGTGATGCTCAGTTGTTCGGAGTGGTTACCGAACCCTCAAAAATTCATCTAATTTGTCTCAAATCTCTCAATTCAAGTACTAGTAGTCCTAACACTTTGTCACCATTAACGGACTGGTGGCTCGACACCTACGGATTTTTCCTGCGATGCCAACATGCCCCAATTATGATAACGTGATCTTTTATATTGTCTTTCTAAAAACTCAATATAAATGTCTTATACATATAGCGTCACCACATGGATAACAATTCCTCACCAATAACGACTTACAAACCATTCATCCTTTAAAATATTTAAATTTATATATGCTCCAAAAATCTTATATATAGTAATTCACTTCCAATGGCATAATAGGGATTAAATCCCAAAAGTACACTACTAGAATTTCTGTCATTTGCTGCTCCCTATTTGCTGCGGTTGTGGGCATACCCGCAGCAATATGTTAGAAATTAATATAACACTCATACACATTTCAAACATATTACAAACATATGACCTTTTACTTAACTAACATAATAACACAAATAATTCATAATAATCACATATACATATTTGTCAAATGAGGAAAATATTTAATACATTTACGAGAAAATTTAAATTTTTGTTGGCACAGAACTTACATAATTATAAAAATAAGCACTAGTTATTATACTCTTATAGGAAGATATTTATTTTATATATTGTACCAAAGTCCCTAAAGATCATTTCTAACTCCATAATAATCTTGGTAGTTATATTCTCAAAGTATTATTCAAGTATATGGTATTTTACAAATATATATTTTCATTAAAATATCTCAATTTTGTGTAGGAAGTAAACCAATAAGTTTTGATGGAAATAAATTTGTACCATCATCTTAAATTCAAAATAATAATTTTAAAAAGATAATAGTTTCACACACACACACACATTTGTCGAAATTCCTTAGATTATCAAAGAGGCAAAATATAAACATTTTTGAAAACTTAATTAGATACTTACTTTTAACCGTATTCTCAATATCTAATAGATAATAAGTATTGTATATTTCCCAAAACCTCTCAAAATCATCTACAATTTTATAGATTCAAATTCTTGTTATAACTATACATTTAAATGTAGTAGTCTAAACTATAATCCACATCTATCTATGGTAATTTCTCAAAAATGTCTATGAGATGGAAATATTAATATTTGAAAATATAAACTCTTAGCTTGTTTAGATATATACACAGATTTCCTACTCTCGAATACATAGAATTTTTATCAAAGCTTTAGAAATAATAATTGTATTCTCAAAACCACTAGTTGTTCAAATATTAATCTTTACAAAAATAAAAACTTATCACATTTTCACATATATTCATCAAATCTCAAATTATAGTTTTCCAAAGAAAATGAACATAATATCCAAATCACACCTTCTGAAATCAATTAACTGATTTTATATAAAAATAACCACATTTCGCATGTCTCATCACAAAATTCATCCAAAAGTTAATGATTATAATTTTAACATGTATAAATATTCCACATATTTTCAAATAATATCGAATCTCAAATTGCGACACATAATTCACATATAAACTTTTGAAAATTATTAATGGAGAAAAACAATAATGTTCTTTGACGTTGACGGAGACACTTACCTCGAATTGCAATAAATCCTAGCCGGAGTACTCGGGCCGATGTGTAAGCTAGTTGACCCAGTCCAACTTGACCCAAATTTGACCCGTTTGGTACTGTTCATCCTTCTTCTTTATCGCGCAGGGCAAACGGGACGCTTCAAAATCAGTGAGCCATGGGCGGAAAACCCCCCTAGCTCTCGTCTCAGGGTGACCAATAAGTCTGGCGACGTTTGGTGCGTCGATGATCAGCGGTGACCAATAGCTCTCCCCTTCCTCAAACGTGAATCATTCCGGCGAGGTTTGCTAAGGTGCTCCGGCGTACTCCTCTCCTATCAGCCACGTCCTCCTCTTTCTTTCTCTCTTGTCTCGCACGTCGTCGTTTGATCCACCTGTTTTCCGATTGTGACCGATATACGGAGTTTCGTATCTTTTGCGCCTGTGGTTTTATCAGATCAGCTTTTGAAGTGCGTATAATACGCAGGTGGTTCGTCGTTCTTATCGATACGCACATGTGCAGTATTCATATCTACTACGTAGTACACTAGTACTACCCGTATTATTAAGATTAATACTTGCCCCCATTATTTACGTAGTACGAATGATCTAAATACCATAAAAAATGGGTGACAACTCTCATACCATTTAAAAAATGGGGTACCGTACCTACTACTCACATGATTGGTCCATATCATTAAATCATTTTTAATTTAGATTTAAATAATTCAACTGCAAAATTCCGATTGGTCCAAGTAGACAAAAGTATGGTACCTTTTGGGTACCATAGAATCTACCTAAAAAATGGTTAAAATTCGTGAATATGACTACAGTTTTTAAATTCCTATATTAGGATTACTAGCTTTCAAGCCCATGCAGTACATAATTTAGCTAATTATAAATCTGATATTTTCGGAATCATATACGTAGTATAATTAAATGTGATGTAAAAGCAAAATAAACCCAGTCAAATATAAAGCCATTTGATAATACTAAAATGAGTTGAATTGTCTGACTCTACTGTAATGAATTAAATCTAACTGATTGGGCCAAATGGATGCAATCTCCCAAATTATGAAAAAGTAAAATAAAATATACTACATATTACGTATATAATTAATAAAACAATCTAAAATTTATATGAAAATATTTAAATGGACTTGTACATAAGCATCTCAACTAAACATAATTGTTATGAACCCGATTTTAAGAATTCACACAAAAAATTTTTAATTAATTTCACATTATATTACTTCATTAAGAATCTCAAAATACTATTTTTTTTTAATATTTCTCATTCAACATGGTATGAAATAAGTATTTATAAATTTATTATTTTGTTACATTGAGAATTTAAGAAAATGGAGCATTTTTACAATTTACTAATTTATTTGGTCACATTGAAAACGTCATTAATAAGATATACTTCCTCCGTCCCTCATAACTTTTCCAATTTCTCATTTAAGTAAATAATTTGTGATTGCAGTTAATTCTCTCTTCTCTACAAAAACCTTAACCATACAGTTTTTACTTTATTAATCTCCGTGCTAGTCAAACTTGGCAAAGTTATTAGGGACATTTTCAGTTCTAATTTGCTCTGAAGTAATACAGTGTGGAAGATGTCTATTATATGTATGTATAATAATATTAATTATTATTATTATTATTATTATGATTGATGTTTGATCTGATCTCGTCTGCGACTGAAATCAGTTCAATTAAAAACATTCTAAATGTATGAAGATTTCCTAATTTGAGTTAGGAATCTATTACAGAAGTGGAGGAATATTTAAATTGTCGTTGTAAAAATAAAGAAACAACTAAACATATTTACTTTTTTGGTTGGGCTAAACAACACGCTTACTTGTGAATACACACACACACACACACACACACACACACACACACACACACACACACACACACACACACACACACAAAAGATCAGGTCCAGCCCTCCCCGGTCCAGCCTCCGTCCGAACTCCGCCGTTTGGGACGGTTCCCGGTGGAATTTTTTGATGAAATTTTTTGAGCATGTTCTTCATCAAGTCTAGTTTGACCATACCAAATTTCAACTCAAAATTCGACCGGGAAGGCATTCAAATCATTTTTTGAAGTTGACTGCATTTTTATATGTATATTTTGGCGCAGTCAACTTCAAAAAATGATTTGAATGCCTTCCCGGTCGAAGTTTGAGCTGAAATTTGGTTTGAACAAACTAGACTTGATGAAGAACATGCTCAAAAAATTTCATCAAAAAATTCCACCAGAAACCGACCCAAACGGCGGAGTTCGGACGGCGCCTCCCGTCCCTCCGGCTGGACCTGATCACTTCTCTATATATATATACATGTATGATATGAATTTCTATCCTAATAAAGGTAAGATACTTGATCAGAAGTTTTACATGTTTTCATATATGAACGTCTAATAGTATATATCAATTTCATTTTTAAGTTAAAAAATCTTGTGGTAATTATTTCCAACTACTAAGAAAGTATTTACATAATTGCAAATCTATTTAAGGCTTACAATTTTAGTCATTATCGCATTGAGTTTAGAAAACATACAAAAAAAAGTGACTGAGTTTAGAAAAATAAAAAGTACATTTTATGCTTTTTATTTTTTTTATTACAAATAAAAAAAGGATGGTTGAATCCGTGTCATACAAAATTAATACGGAGTAAGTAGAGGTTCATAACAAGTTACGTAGTATAAATAAGGTGGATTCTATATAATCGTACAATATTTTGTTTCCATATAAATATGCAATAAAAAATAGAATGTAATAAAAAATAAAAAATATAAAAAGTCATTAATAATTACTATATATGATGACATGGCAGGATTATGTGGCACACCTTATGCTCTTAAAAAGTTCCTCTTATATATATATATATATATATATATATATATTGATTAATGTGTATTTGGACCAATATTTCTACAATTGTAAAAATATTTGTAGCTTTTGAAAAGATAGAGTTCAGAATAAATTCGTAAAAAATAATAAAAAAATCATAAAAATTAATATAAAATTAATAAAATAATTATAAAATAAAAAATTTAAAAATTAAAACATAAAAAATACCGCCACCTATGCCACCCCCAACACCACCAGCTCCGATCACCGGAGGAAAAAATGCCCACATTTTTAGTAATGTCATAATAATGGCAGATTCAATGATTTTTTTTGCATTATCAACAGTAATATGTTATTTTCAGAAAAAATCATTTTTTACCAATAATGGCAGCTTTTTCACCTATCAGAGGTGGTGATGCTGGGAGGCAGTAGGAAAGGTATCCATATTTTTTATATGGATTTTTACAATTTTTTATTAATTTTTAAAAGAAAAATTCAAAAAATAAATAATTTTTTTTTTATTTTTTGTTTTTATTATTTTACAATTTTTAATAGTTTTTACGATTTATTTTTATTTTTTCTGGTGAAATAAAACCTTTCATTATGAATTAATACGCTTAGCGATATTTAGGGTATTTAGTCCTGCTAGGGGCAATTTTAAAAAAAAAATGGTAGTCCTATCAATGCTTTTTAGTCCTATTTAGAACAATTTTATACTTGCATATTATTATGTACGTATATATATCAATAATAGTAATATGCATGCGCAGGATTCCTATTCACACACCTTACTTCGATCACAATTTTCTATTAATATATATATATATAATCAAATTATTTTGTATAAAATGTTATTAAATTTCTAATAATGTAAATTTCCAAAATATTTCCCCCGTCCCTAAAACAAAGTTCCACTTTCCCAAAATGAAAGTCCCTAAATTAAAGTCTTACTTCTTTAACTTCATTATTTGGTAAACAATTCTATATCAAACAGTGTCAAACATTATCCAAATAGTGCACTCTACAGAACAATTTACCCCTCACTAAATTTATTTTCTTAATATGTGTGAAGTCAAACTAGGACATTGGTTAAGATAGACGGAGGGGGTATTAACTTTTTATAATGTTTACTAATACATAAATAAATATATTACAATCGAAATTGTCCGTTGGAAGACGTGAAAGTCAAACTCTTTCAACTATTAAAAAACGAAGGATAGTATATTTCTGAAGCAGCCGCGCGCATGTAAAGTTGTATGATAACTTATTACCATACTGTTTTATTTATTTACTCCCTATGTGATTATTATGTGTAGTTCCTTCTATTTATATGAGAGTTTATTAGGGAGCATTATTGGTATCATTAGGTTTGAAAAATCTTTTTTAGAGTAAAAAACAACTTATATTAATCCAATTCATCGTTAGCCAAGAGGCTTACAATAACATCAGGATGGAAATAAAAAATAACATCACAATCATCCTCGAAAATAGTCGCTCGGGCCACCGAAGCAAAAGTTAATTCTTAAAAATTCATTTTCTTGAAGCAAGACTCTCAAAGTCATCAAGAACTATGTCTATATACGACATTCCCGAATCTCCTTGTAAACCGTCACCACCGAAGTTGCATCTATTTCCACAACCACTTTCTCCCCATCCATTACTACGGGCCCAATTAACGGTTTCCCGCACTCCACGAACCTCTGTCTCAAGCGGAGACCATTCCGCTTGGACAAACTTAATCCTATGAAGGCTTGAGTGAATGAAAGCAGAGACCATTCCGCTTGGACGCACTCTACGAGCCTCTGCCTCTTTCACCAAACTTTATATAAAAAGTAACATTAGTATTATGAACATATGTTTTTTCTTTGACAATATAAATTTATGATGTTTTAACTACACCTCTATAAATGTTTAAGTATTTTACACCATATCGCATGTGCTTATGACCATAAGTTTATATTTATGAATAAAAAAGTACATAGTAATGATGCTAACATAAAAGTACCCAAAAATGTTAATTTTGCACTTCAATTTGGGACAAGGTAGGAAAATATTTCAATTATCATATCTGTGTGTAACATTATCTATTGTTTGGGAAGAGTTGCTAATTCATGGCCTCACAGGAATCACCAGATGGGACAGTGAAGAACGTTTTAGATCAGGAGACGTTGAAGTGGGTGTTTGTAGGGGGCAAGGGAGGGGTAGGGGAGACAACTTGCAGTTCCATCATTGGTATCCTACTCGCTCAGGTTCGATCCTCGGTCCTCATCATCTCCATAGATCCCGCCCACAATCTTAGCGACGCCTTCCAACAACGCTTCGACCCTGGTCAATGGCTTTTCCAATCTCTATGCCATGGTTCGTACCCGCCCCTCTTCAATTGTCCATTTGTTCCTCATTACTGGTGAGGGTCTCAATTCCTTTATGAATTCAAAAACTTTATTCCATTAATTATCTGTGGAATGACAAATGATCTGAAATTAATGTGTGAACCTTAGCCCTAGTTTGGTTGGGTTTTTTTGGAGAGGAGGGGTAAGGAGACGACCTTTTTTTGTCTCGCAAAAAGTTTGGAACTTTGGATGCTTGGAGCTTGCAAAGTAAAGATGAATAATTTAGAAAAATGTGATCTAATCATTAACTAACATAGGAGTAGTTATTTTTTTAGTCTTAGGGTATTTTTAGGAGTTGTGGGGGAAGAGGAGGGGATGGCTTTGAAAGTTAGTTGATAGCCGTTATATTTATTTGTATTTAACATAAGTATTTGTTGAAGAAAAGGAGAGAAAGCGGACAAATATCTTCAGAATACGAGCTAGAGCAATAATCATTGCGATGAACGACTTTTTGGACCAAAAGGATGACGTTCTGCCAATAAATTGAGTATAACTTATTGTAGAGAACTCGAAATCACTCGATTCGAATTTCATGTGAATATTAACTCAATAAGGTACAAATGTTATCATTTACGTTTATTTTAAATAATTACTACCGCTATCATTTTTAATGTATGTACATTGACGCGATCACACATATATAAATTTATTTATTTGAAGTATTAATAATTTAAACATAACTATTTTAAGTTTTTTAAAAATATTCCCCGGCCCCTTAGAGAAGTTGTTGTTGTGATTTATGTTAAGAAATCTGTTTATGTGGAAACTGCACTCAAATTTTATTAAAAGGCAAACTGCGAATTAAAAATAACAAAATATGATATATTAATCTTGGATTAGGAGAAAGTGAAGTTATACACTTATACTCCGTACAAGGTATAATTAAAGAGCGTGATTCCTGAACATAAACCTGATACCAGGAGGTACTTACCGTATAGCGTGAGCGGTAACGTATATATATCTGAGAGTGAATGTTTGATTTTCAAACAACGACGCAATCAATGGGTTGATTGATTGTGAAGTGAAAAGAATGGATTGGATGCCGAGCAACGAATCACAGTGGCTTGCGAGTTGAGATGCGCCTCTCAATCATTTTGCCCTCCTACATATACCCCGCCACTCCCTAATTCATACAGCCGCCGCAGCTTTTTCCTCCGATTCGCCATGGGCCAAGTTCTCGACAAATATGAAGGTAACCTCACTTGCTTCCTTGCTACTCATGCGCTCCCTTCTTTCAGGAACTCCCCCATCCGATTATAATGGAATAGTCAACGCTCAACCGCCCTACTTTCTTTCGATTCAATGTTTGGATCTTTTTTAATATTTTATGATTTGATTTCAGATTGCAATCCGAATCTTTTGTTGTTTTTTATGTTATTTGCTTTGATTACACATGTCTGGCTTACAATGATAGATGCAATACTTTTTAAATTGAAAGGGGCATTTTTTTAAAGTACTTCTTTTTAAGCTGATTTTATACTTCCAACTTTCACCTTTTGAAATTTTACATTTCCGTTTGGTGTCATCCTTACAAGTCGCTCACAAGTTTCCCTCAACTTGTTGAAACTCTTGGAGTGGAGTTGTAGCATTATGTTGATCATTGTTGTCGTTGTTATGGTCTTAGTCCTAGTTGATTGGGGTTGGTAGCATTATGTTTATTGTGTAAAATTACATGACACTGAAATTGTGAATTGGTGCTAAACAAAGTGTCAATGATTTATGTCGGATGCCTTTACTACAGCAACCTTCTCTATAGAGAATAATGGCATCAAAATTTAAAACCATTATGGTCATTATAATTTCCACATTCATGAAATATATCATAGAAAGACGATGAGTTGATATAGTATTTGCTTTTGGCCTGTCCATTCAATGGTCTATATTTCAAAACTGACCTGCAAATATATTCTTTGAAATTGTCTTTGGTCTTGCCACTTGCAAGTGATGCTTATTTGTTCTGCTTCTTTTCAGTCTTAATCATTTTCATATACTCGAACATTTGATGTTACCTTGCCCCAAAAAAATCACCCAAAAAAAATCTCCCCACGGTCAGCCTATCAATAAAAATGAAGAATTGCTGGTGTAGCTTTTGTGTTTGGGTGAAAAAAATAAAAGCACTGGCCTTACTCTAAGATCTAAAAGTCTTAATCATGATCCAGATGTGTGGCGTAATGTAGGCAAGGAGCTGAGAGTAAAACAGACACGGCAGATAACTGACAAGGTGTATGATCGATTCAAAAATGAATCAGACAAAGTGAATTTGAGTTTCGAAGATCTATACATTTCTGTGTTGCTTATATTCAAGTAAGATACTTGTTTCTTCTTATAACAAGTTCTTTCCGCTTTGAATCCTCCGACTATTAATGTTATGAGATGTATTTGATACCGTCATTGATTATTTGCGACTAATACATACACCATTAGTACCCTCACTGTTAACCCTCTCAATATTGAATATAGTAATAATGATGTTTTTGACATCTTTGATTTTTTCTCACTAACATTGATACCTTTAGGTCCCTCACTTTTAACCCTCTCACTATTATGGCAATGGACACTTTTTCGGTTTTTTCAAATATTTTGCCAGTGACACTTTTATTTCTCCACCTACAAGGAGCAGAAATCAAATGTGCATAAAAAGGGTCATTGCCACAATAATAAAATTCATAAAAGTGGGAAATCTCAAAGAATAACTAACACAGTTTTGTTATATACAGTGATATAAACAAGCATTTGCCAGGACCTCACATAGACCCTCCTTCCAAAGAACAAGTTAGGGCGTTGATGAAGGTATCCTCCCATTTCCTTCCAAACACATTGGCGTTTAATTGAATTTTGCCACTGTGCACTCTCTGTGTTGTTGCATTAATTCGGCCTGAAATGGTTACACAAGTGATAAGGCTTGGATACATTATTAAATTGGACCTAAATCTTTTGAAGTGCTCCTAAAGAGGTGAGGGATTACATCTAGAAGTGATTAATCAGTTGGGTTCTAAATAGTCTGGTTATCCAACTAATACCAGGGTATTGGGATCTCACCTGGAAATATGAAAATGAATAGAATGAGTTTTTAGGATCTTGAATCGAACTAGATAATCAATTTGATTCAATCTTTTAGAAGAGGTTGACTCCTTTAATGTGTCTAAATTTTCTATGTTTTTTTTTTTTATTTTATAAACAGAAATATGATTTCAACTTTGACGGGGAACTAAACCGTGAAGAGTTTATGGAATTCATTCTAGAACTGACTAAAGACACATTCTTTACCATTAGTCAAAAGCTGGTGACTACATTGGCGATAGCACCGACTGTGGCTTTGCTGACTAAGAAGTCAACAGAGGGTGTACCTGTGATTGGGAAGGTGGTACAGAAGTTGCCCAGTTCTGTTTATGCATCCCTTGTCACTCTTGCTATAGTTCTTTTTCAGAAATCAACTGAAGCCAAATAGCAAAAGATACGACTTCTTCTTTCCATTGTAAATGGATTCTACTCCGTAGTTTATTTCAATAATACGCCCTGCAGACTTTGTTGGCTCTGGTTAACCGGCCTTTATATGTCCATGTATTCTTTGTAAATTATTGGAAGTTGAAACTTTTGTGTTTTGTTCAAATGATTTGGTATTCTGGTTTATTATTACCATTCCTCCAAGAAGATACTCAGTAGTACATGTTGAAGCTTATTTAGCCCTAAAATGTAATGTGGAAAGCTAATAAAAAACACTACACTAAAATGCTAGTTAAAGCTCACGAAAAATCATGCCCTTTTAGGCTAGTTAAAGAAAAATGCTTTGTTGTAATTGATCTCTTCTTGAAACCCATCGATGAATTTTATAAGCCTTTAAGGTTTTTAGGGGGCGTTGTGTAGGGATGGACCCGGGCCGGGCCGGTTCCGGTTCCGGGCCGGGCCCGGGCGGGCTTTTTTTCGGGTTACATGGGCCCGGAACCGGCCCGGGTTGATACCGGGTCCGGGCCTAACCGGGCCGGGCCGGGCCGGGCCCGGTTCAATGTTTTTTTTTTTTTTTTTTTTTTGACTTTCTTGTTATCTCCCTACCCCCCCCCCTCACCCCCACGCCCCAAACCTCCCTAAAACACCCAGCCCTACCCTAGGAAAAGAAAAAAAATTGAAAAAACCAAAAAAAAAAAAAAAATGAACTGGGCCCGGCCCGAACCGCCCGGGCCGGTTCAACAAAAACAGGGCCCGGAACCGGCCCGCCCGACCCGCCAAAACGGGCTAAAAGCCCGGAACCGGCCAACCGGGCCCGGTCCGGTCCGGGCCCGCACAGTAGCGGGCCGGTCCGGTTCCGGGCCGGTTCGGCCCGGCCCAGTCCATCCCTAGCGTTGTGCAAGGAAGAAGAGAGAAATTTCGAAGTGTAGATTAAGGCATGTTACCCTCACGGCCTCACCAATGGGTTCAATATTGGAAAAGGAAAAATTAGAGGTTAGAATCGTAGACCATTCTCGATTGCATTCGGCAAAATAGAGGTCAGAACAAGTCTTGGGGAGTGTTTGCGATTGCTTAAACTTTAAAAAAGTTATTTTTTAAAGTGATTTTGGGAAAAGTGATTAATGGTAAAAGTTGGTAGTGTTTGAGAAAAAAGTGATTCTGAAAAAGTAAAAGTTGGTAGTGTTTGGTAAAATAAGTACTTTTTGTGTAATAGAAAAAGTGAGAAGCAGTTTAAAGCACCCTTCTACCTGCTTCCAGCTTTTAGCTTTTAAGTGATTAATTTAAGCAGAAACTATCATTTGAAAACACTCTTTTCAAATTTTTTTAAGCCAAAAGGTGAAAAGCGCTTTTTTTAATCAACCCCAAACACTCCTTTAGCTATACATCAATACAAGAATGCTTTTGTACCATCCTTCTAAGTCCCTTATTGGCTTATTGCTTTCTAAATACTATTTCACTTATTTTATTGACATTTTCATATATCATCAAAAAGCCAGTGTTGAAAACAAAGCCAAAAAGGCCAGCTTTTTTAAATAAAAACAAAAACAGTGTTGGCAATTTGATTCTTTGGCTAGTCAAAATGTATGAGTTTTAATAATAACATAAGGTATAAAATGTCATCATAACTACATTTTTATTAATATAGTTAAGTTCGTAATATGAATATAGTACTGCCTTCTCTCTCTCACAGAATCACATTTAGCCAGAGCTTAATCTTGTAATTTGATAATAATGCACAAGTCATATAAGTCGTCATTTCTACGGTTCTACCTATCTAATGGTGCTTATAGTGGTTAATTGATTCACAAAGTATGCCAATTTCACGCTTCTCTTTCTCTCTTATTTAATGTCAATTGTCAAAGAAGTTCCTTGTGTTTATTTGCGAAGTAGTGTGATTAGATGAATTTCCATAGATTCTTCCCTAGCGATTCTAGGGTTTACTGCATTTGATTCCTTCGATCATTGTGTTTGATATCAATTGAAGCGAATTTTAGCATCTCTTACGCTCACTATGGATGAACTCATGGAAGATATGTATGCGAGACTTACTCTGGCGGATGAAGAACTTGAAGCAGTTGATGTGGAAGAAGCTGTGGCTGAGGACTGTTCGGCAAACTCAGCTTTTGCCATCGTGGGTAGACTCCTTACAGATAGGCAGATTCGGTTCCCGTATTTTAGAGACTCCATGGCAGACGTGTGGAGACCCGGTAGAGGAGTGAACATCCGAGAGGTTGGTAATCGACGCTATTTGTTTCAATTCTTTCATGAAGTGGATGTGGAGAGAGTTCTAAATGACGGCCCATGGTCCTTTGAGAACTGCCTTCTGGTACTGCGACGTTTGGAAGCAAACGACAATCCTAAAACTATTCCATTGAATCGGGAGAACTTCTGGGTTCAAGTCTATGACGTGCCGGCAGAGTTGTTCACAGAAAAGACGGCACAGATTATCGGCAACAGGCTTGGGGGATTTGTCACGGTTGATCAGAAAAATTTCAAAGGTAGATTCAAGGAATTTATGCGAATTCGAGTGTCCCTGGATATTACATTAGCCTTGAAGCGTTGTATGACCTTGAAGAAGGGCCCTGACAACTTTATTGTTCACTTTAAATTCGAACGTCTCCCACACTTTTGCTTCATTTGTGGGATGATGGGGCATGTGGACAAGCTATGCCCAACGCGGTTTTCGGGTGTGGCTGTGGGACAGGAAAAACAGTATGGTGCATGGCTAAGGGCGGGTGGACGCCGCCAGACTGGGTTCATGGGAAGCAGGTGGTTGGTTGATGATGAGGGACGCTTTCTGACCGAAGCTGCCAGAAACAGTGAAGGCCCTTTGCAAGGAGGGGCTGGGGTTTCATCACATGGAGTTTCTTCGCAGGGGGAAGTTAATGGAGTAGGTTTGGGGTCTGGGACTGCAGGAGGGGAGACAGGACTGGTTGTCTGGCAGAAAGGAGAGCTCGAATCTGCGGGTACTTCACAGAAGAAAAGGAAAGTTCATGAAGAGAGGACAGCAAGGGTTGGAGACAGTTTGGAGTTGTATGAATTTTCTCAGCCAAAAAACGGATTAGAGGCGGGTCCTGGATTGCAGGCCCGCCTAGACCAATGAGTTGCTTAAGTTGGAACTGTCGAGGGCTTGGCAACCCTAGGACAGTTCAAGTGTTGGTGGATTTAGTCCACTCGAAGAGGCCACAACTGGTGTTTCTTATGGAGACTTTTGCTAATGTAGCTAGGATGGAGGAGGTGAGAAGGAGAATTGGTATGCAGTTTAGTTGGGTGGTTGAGGGTGTTGGGCATCGGGGTGGTCTTGCTCTTTTTTGGGGAGATGGGATGCAGGTTCAAATTCAAAGCTCTTCTGCTCATTATATTGATGCCTGGGTCAAGTTAGAGATTGATGACACACCCTGGCGTTTTACGGGTTTCTACGGGTGTCCCGAGAGGCACCGTCGTAGGGAGTCTTGGGATTTATTGAAATCTCTTAGTTCAGCAGCAGCTCAGATCCCGTGGTTAGTTATGGGGGATTTTAACGACCTTCTTTTTGCTGGTGACAAGAGAGGTCGTGTTCCTCATCCACCTTGGATGATCCGGGGATTTAGGGAGGCAGTTTGGGCAAGTGGACTTCATAATTTTTCTTTTGAGGGGTATCAATTTACTTGGGAACGATGGAGAGGAACACCGAATTGGGTGGAAGAGAAGTTAGATAGAATTTTGACATCTGAGAGCTGGCTGGAACGGTTTGGAGAAGCAGTTGCTGAGTCTTTGGAAGGAGCCCCTAGCGATCATCTGGCCTTATTTATCCGGTTAAGCCCGACCCGTGGAGTAAATCGTAGAAGGCGGTTTAAATTTGAAAATGTTTGGTTACGAGAAGAGGATTGCAGGGAGGTGGTGGTTAGAGGTTGGAATATGGGTCGTGATAGGGGTGTGGTAGCTGGGATTGCAGCATGTAGTAAAGCAGTGGAGGAGTGGGGGAGAGGAAGGGCAGGATCATACGGGAAAAGAATCACTTTTTGTAAAAAAAGGCTTAATCATCTCCGAACCAGGACAGACATGAGGGGTTTGGCAGAATTTGATAGAGTTAAAGGCGAATACTTGGATCTCTTGGAGAAGGAGAATCGGTACTGGAAACAGAGGGCGAAAGAATTTTGGTACAGAGGTGGTGATTTGAATACCCGATTTTTCCATAATGCGGTGAAAGTTAGGAGGAGGAAAAATAAGATGGAGGGATTACGGCTAGAGGATGGAAGATGGGAACGGGACCGGGGAAAACTGGCAAACATAGTGGCGGATTATTTTCATAACATTTTCTCTTCTTTGCAGGGCCCTGGTGAACATATTTATAATTGTGTTGATCGGAGAGTGGATGATCAACATAATGCCATTCTGATGAAGCCTATTACGAGCGAGGAAGTGAAGGCGGCTATCTTTAGCATGTATCCGGACAAATCTCCCGGTCCAGATGGGATGAGCCCGGGGTTTTTTCAACACTTTTGGGACGTGATCGGTCCTGATGTGGTGGCCTTTTGTCGATCCATCTTCGAGTCAGGCATGATTCCGGAAGGTATGAACCATACTCACTTAGTGTTAATACCTAAAAAGGATCATCCTGAGGTTATTGGCGATTGGAGACCTATTGCACTTTGCAATGTAGCTTATAAGATTTTTTCCAAAGTCTTAGCTAATCGAATGAAAGGTCTTCTTCATTTTTGTATATCAGAACAACAGAGTGCCTTTATTCTTGGTAGATCTATTATTGATAATATAATGATTGCCTTTGAGTCCCAACACTTTTTAAACCGGAAAAGGCAGGGTAAAATTGGGTATGCAGCCTTGAAATTAGACATGAGTAAAGCTTATGATCGGGTAGAGTGGAATTTTTTGGAAGGAATGTTGTGTCATATCGGCTTTGCTAGTCGGTGGGTGCAGATTGTTATGACTTGTGTTCGATCAGTTACGTATTCTATCCCTTTTGATGATTCTGAGATCGGACCAATTGTTCCCTCTAGAGGGCTGCGCCAGGGAGACCCATTATCGCCCTACCTTTTTATTTTGGTGGCAGAGGGGCTTAGTGCTCTTCTTAGGCGACATGAAAGAATTGGGAATATTCATGGAGTAGCCGTAGCCAGGGGCGCTCCGAGGATTTCACATTTACTGTTTGCAGATGATAGTTTGCTTTTTTTTCAAGCTAACCATAGTGAGGCGTCGGCGATAAAAGAAACACTCCTTGACTACGAGCTGGCATCTGGGCAGGTGGTCAATTTTAATAAATCAAAAATTTTTTTCAGCTCTAATGTTTCGGGGCATTGTA